ACGACTTGAACCTCAAATTTAACCTTTGTATAACTTCTTTTACCTCATGCATAAGACCACGTGGCTCCTTTTGTGTGTTGCCACTCCCCACCTATTTATAGAATGCGTTGCTTAACCATTGCCCGACTAATGAAATTGAACGACTTAACATGCTTACGAAACCCATGTATATAGAAATTTTCTTAATGACTATTTGAAGTAAATACTAAATAGAAAATGTTTGAAATTACTTACTTGCCACACAATCTAGATGAAAAATAAATCGAATTTCCTAACATCCATTTCCAATTTCATTGGATTTGGTGAAGTAACGGGGACAAAACAAGAAAATAATGCACGTGCCGCATGTACATAAATTCAGATATTTTCAAATTCATCGGAACAAATTACTCTGCATTTTTCATCCTTTCTTGTGAGAATGAATATTTTTTTATTTCATTATTGTAGCCATCCATCGTGACAAAATTATTTTTGCTGTCTCTAATTAATTGGATCAGGAGCCACACTCTACATTTTGTATTGTATATTAAAGTTACAACAGTGACCCTCTGACATGATTATTAACAATTTGTAAATGTGGAACAGTGAAGCTGTTGGCCACATTCAATGACTAAAAGTTTAGAAGGCTTTTGTTCTATAAACATTTATGGTATATTTAGCATGTTAGACAGCTTGACCCCAAAAAGGTTTTTCAGATTTGAGCATGATCTCCGCTAGATTCTCAGACTGCAATGCACTACATGAGACGAGGAAAAAGGTGCTTTTTCTTCAGTTTGTAAGAGAGAGTTAGAGAGCTCGAGTGCTTGAAAGATTTGCATGTTTGAGACTCAATTAAAAGAGTTCAAGAATTAACGTCTAATTTTGAGTGTTTCACTAGAACTGTTTCTTAGAATGTTCACTACTATCTAAATAGTGACTATTTATATTGTTGTGGTGTACTAAAATTGTTAGTTTACTTCTTTTATCTGTGAATTTAATTTATTAATTTGATATTAAAAGTACACCACAATACAACATTGTATAATGCGTATAGATCTACAAGTTTCAATACAACATTGTACAAGTTTCAACAGTTTTAAACTCTAAACATAATAATAGATGAACTTGTTTTATACATGGCGTGTACCTAGAGATGTGAGTTAATTGTTCTACGCCGCAATTAGATTGTGAAGTCCCCTAGATAGGGTTGAATTGGATGGTAAGATGAAAGGGATTGTAAGTAGAAGGTTTTGGATTAAAAATCTATCACTTTAATAAAAAGGGTAAAATACACTTTACCCCCCAGTGATTTAGCGCTTTTTCACATAACCCCCCTATAATTTCAAAAACTATACATAACTTTCTCATAGTTTAGATTAAAGTGTCAAAGTAACGAGATTTACAATCCAAAACGGAGTCACCTAAAATGTCAAAAATACTCCTATGTAAAGTTGAAAATTATTTACTAACCACAATGGGGTGATGTGTATATTTTGAAAACTATAAGGGGTTATATGGTAAAGTATTAAATTATAAGAGGGTTATATGGTAAAATATAAAATCATACTGGGTTAGTGCGTCATATATATTATATTTATATATTTTGGTCATTTCAACCATTTTAATTTTTAAATAAGAGTAATTTCAATATTTTTAAAGGTTTGGTTACGAATGATCATTTCTATCACTTTGACACTTTAATTTAAATCATGAGGGGGTTATGTATAACTTTTAAAACCATATGGGGGTTATGTACAAATATACTAAACTATAGGGGGTAAAATATAATTTACCCTTTAAACAAAGATAATTTCGACATTTTATAGGTTCCGTTACAAATGATCATTTTCGACAATTTGATACTTTAATCTAAATTATGAGGGGGCTATATATAATTTTTAGAACTATAGGGGGGTTATGTGAAAAATTGCTAAACCACAAGGGGGTGAAGTGAATTTTGCCCTTAAACCCAAAAAAAAAAAAAAAAAAAAAGTAGATTGTGAAGTCTCCTTGTGCAATCTGATGTCCGATATTGTCGTCTTCTCAAGAAATCAAGTTGCTTTAGTCTCTGTCACAGAAAGAAAATTGCCAAGCTTTATGTCATTTTCCACAACCAGAGGCATAACCTAATTAAACTGTTTTTATTGCAAACAGATGAATAATATTAGCCCCTCTTTTCTCAGGTCAATGTCAACTTATAATTTAGGCCATATCCACTCAACTTTGCGCGGGGAGTTTGTGAACATATAATTTCTTTCGTTGAATATGTAACAATCATCTTTGCGCATTTGCCTATATGCCCTCGAACTCTGATGCCTCAAGGCTAACTATCAATACTACTAGGATAAAAAGTATACTGAGAATGCTATGTTCTTTCTCATATTCTTTCTTTCCAGAATTGAGTTTTCCCTCTAATTCTTTCCCGTCTCTTGCTTTTCTTAATATTGATAAGAGTGCCAAAAAAAAAAAAAAGAGAATCACCCCTTTGTATTTAAGAGAGTGGGAAAAATGGTGAAGAATAATTCAAAGTTTTATAATATCTTTATGGATTAATCTTTCCTACACTGACAGTGTATACACTATCAGCGTTGGATGAATGACAACTATGCAAAATTTGAATTTGAAATTCAACTTTTGCACACATGTCATGAATCCAACGCTGATAGTGTATACACCGTCAGTGTAGGAAAGATTTACTCTTTTATTTTTTATTACATAAAGAGAAAGGTACTTTTGTCCAAAATTTATCAACATGCTAAACTATTTTAATGGGTAAAATACATAAAAAAAAATTATGTTAGGAGGTAACCTAATAATAGCTCTATAGTTTAAGAGGGTAAAGTAATGACTCTAAGGGCTAAATGTATCTTTTAATTGCATCACTAAACTACGTCAAGTGTGAGTGTTAGGTTTAGAGATAAAATGCTTGAAGAATAATGCTGTGAGGGAGACTGAAAGTAGCTCTAAACTTTAGGATAGCAAAATGATAATAGAAGCTATGGGTTGTAGGGGAGCTAGAGTTTTGCAATAGAAGCTGATCTTAAACTTAAAAGTTGAAATGATCCAACCATACTCTAACAAGTTTCAAAAGTAGAATAACAAGTTTAAACTGGAAGTACAAGGAAAAAGTTCAATAATTTTATATAGCCAGAAACAAAGTGTTGTGATTGTGTCTTTTATATGTGTTACAATATACCCCAACTAACTTGAACAGATTGTGTGGTCTGGGAATGAAACTTAACATGATTTAAGGTAATTGTCCATGCTATCTGAGGAGGGAAATGGAAAATGGTAATGGTTTAGTTAAAAACATAGTGTAGCCAAACTATACATTAGTGTACTTTTTAGAAACTAAAACGTTAGTTACTAAATATTTCCAAGTTAAAATATTATTCCTCTCGACTTTTTTGTGTTCCTAAAAGTAAAGGATATAACAGTGAAACAAAAAGGAAGCACAAAATGTAGTTTTCAAGCAATACTTTTTGAAATTGCGTTTTTGGAAAAGAGCAAGTTAATTGATGTCTGCATTTGATCTTGAAGAACAAAAGGAACAAAGAAAACTAAGCTTTGTAATTTAGTTTTACTTTGGAATTATTTTTTGTTTCTTGGGAGGAGGGTAAGGAGGGACCAGAAAAGGATTAGAACTAATTTAAGTTCTTTATGCTGATGCATTTTGGGGCAAAAATTGCTTTAGAACCCCCAATATCCAGATTTCGACTCCTTCAATCTTAACTTTTGAATCCAAATAAGATGAGAAGCTCAGTCTAAGGTGCACAGTCAATATTGGCACTAGTTGTAGTCTGTAAAACTTTGGCGGAATCCATTAGCTTGCAAATAATAATATGTGGTGACTTTCTGTTTTCCAGCCCAATGCAGTATCCAACTCATCTGCTAGTTTAATTATTTGACTCAGTATTTTAGAAATTAGGTAGTGGATCGGCAAAAGTTGTGAATCTGTAGATAAAGAATAGTCAAGACTGGAAAGCTGAACTCATTGTTTTAAGCAGCTAAACCATTTTGAATACTGTAGTGATCATAAAATATGTTGAATTTGAAAAGAATACCATCAAATCTTTTATCGTTTGGAAAAAGAAAAAGAAAAGAATACCATCAATTCCATATTTTCTTTTTAGTTTGTTATTTTATCTTATTTTTTGACAAGTTTGTCACTTTTATTGATAAAACAATAATTGTTCAGAACAAATACAAATCTCAAATGAAGGAACTAATTTAATTAGTCAGAACTTGCCACAAATTTCCGTTGCATAATATAAATGTGTCACAAGAAAAGAAAAGGGTGAATTATACTTTACTCCCTGTGGTTTAGCACTTTTACACATAACTCCACTATGGTTTTAAAAAACTATACATAAGTCTCCCATTGTTTGGACGAAAGTGTCAAATTAACGGAATTTGCATTCCATAATTGATTCAACTTAAATGTCAAAAGTACCCTATATAAAGTTGGATATTATTCATTAATCACATGCTAGTTATGCACATATTTCAAAAATCATAATGGAGATATATGGTAAAATATAAAACTATAAAGGGTAAAAATGTCATGCATATTATGTTTATATATTTAAATTACTTCTTTTATTTTAGTTTTTAAACAAGGATAATTTTGATATTTCTGTGGGTTTCATTACGGAGGATCATTTCTATCATTTTGACATTTTAGTCCAAATTATGAGAGAATTATGTATAATTTTTGAAATCCTGGGAGCATTACGTGTAAAATCGCTAAAGCGTATTTTACCCAAAGAAAAATTTCGAATCAAGCAAAAAAGAAATTGCAATAATAATTTACATGCCCTTATTCGGCCTATATTGTGGTCCAGCAGGGTTCAGATGTCTTGTCTATTTCAGCTTAAAGTTTATACATGGAAGGAGGAGCTGATTTTATTAATTCACTACTTAGGTGAAGATTATGCAATACTGCTATCTTGACGATCCGTATTAGTATTAATAACCTGAGGCCTAGCGAATATTTTAGAATATTTTGTTTTCCTTTCTCCTTTTTTTCTTTTACGTTGGCTAATTTTTTAGTGTAGAAATAGATTATTACAACTGTTTTACTATTATTGTTTATTTTCCAATGGAAGAAGACTATCTTTTGGTACATTTTAAGTTGATGTATCAGCATTCATTGGTCAGCTGGTAGAGCAAGATATTTAGTATTTGTCTGAAAGAAGTTCTAAAGCAATCTAATATTTAGACTTAGAAGCATCAAATTTTTATTAACATTAAACAGGATCCTAAAAGCCTAATAAGTGATTAATTTTCATTGCATGAGAGGGGAACTCGTAACTCATAATATATCATACAAAGTAATCCATGAACATGAAGAGAATAAAAGGCACACAAAGGCGTGTAGAAACAGAAGTGATAGAAGATCCTAAAAAGGAAAATTGAACAAATAGTTCCTTACATCCAGATAACATCCTTTTTCATCTAATCATATTTAAAATAATGCATTTCAAGTGCTCACATACTCAAAACACAACATTTTTACACGGTTGGAATGCATCTCTTAATCTCTTTTTTTTTTCTTTTTTTTTGGCCTGGAAATTATATGCTCATCACGGTAAAAGATAGCGGATTATAGTAGATTTTCAAGTTTCCAAGATCACCCTCTGTGCGAGAGATTGGAGATGCAAAGGAGTAGAATATGAAAAAAAAAAATACAAAAAGCTGAAAGAATTCACAATGACCAAATAAGAAGGGATGAAACAAAATTATGGGTCCTGGTATCTAATTCCTCTGTCACTTCCCTGCTTCTTAAATCCTGTGTTTCCCTTGTGCTGATTATAAACTGATGGTTGCTGGTTCCCTTGTGCTTTTGATCTACACAAGTGTTCATTTCCTTTATCGATCATCTTCAGCTTATTATTAATATCTCTTGCTTTAGGTAACATTTCATAGAGAAAGGCTTTCTTCTTAGAATGCGAGGAGAAGAAGCATACCTTTGGTTTCTCTTGGTTCAAGATCTCTACCTCATGCTGGGAGATTTTCATCAGCATTATACCTTGATGTTCTCTGCCTTGTCCTGCAGCCTCAGATTTTCCCGCGAGACAGCTTGGATGATTGATAAAGAACCTTCCAGACTCTCCAACTCTTCTCTGATGGTCTGCACAAGATTAGTCTCTTCACTGGAGTGGGAAAACAAATTCAATATTTGTGCATTGACTGGCAGTGAAAGTAAAATTGAGCAGACCTTGACACCAATCTGTCTCTATGTATTATCATAATAGAAATGAATCTGACCAGCTGGTTGGAAAACACCGGTGAACAGAAATAAACAAAAACAACCAATCTTCTCAGCTCATGCTTTTAAGTTCCAAACTGTAAAGTTGCATTAGTATGAAGATTATATAATCAAGTTCACACCAATCAAGGGTCATTTGTATCATCATTTTAATTTTTTTTCCTTCTATCAGGTCAATTCTACACGAAGCAAGGATTATTTGTTGATATCATAATAATGTATTTAGAAAGAAAGGAAAAAAGTAGAGAAAGAGAAGAAGAGAAATATCTTCTGGAGTAATTGACAACAAATCAAGGATAAAAAATAGCACAAAAGTGGGAATTTTGCTTCTACGACAGTAGATAACAGTAATTTATCGGAGTTCTCAGCTAAATTTTGCTACCAGTGATCTGGATTCTGCCCATTTCAAGTTTCATTCTTCTGGCTTCAGCTCAATGATTTTCTATGATTTCCAGAAGCACTTTCTTAGAACTCCCACCAACTTCGTAGGCCTTCCTAGCTTCTTCCTTCACCTTCTTTGCCTTTATCCTCAATGTTTTATCCTGCATCAACTCGACAATTTGATCCCCAATCTCCTCTCCCTTCACTAGGTTCTCCCCCAGCCAACCCCAATGCCTCATCCATACTCCAAGGCCTGCCTTCTCTGTCACTTCTGCGTTCAACTTTTGGTCTCCATTTAGAGGCCAAGCCAGTATAGGCACCCCATAACGAGCTGCTTCAGTTACAGAATTCCACCCACAATGGCTTACAAATCCTCCGATTGCTGGATGCGCTAAAACTTGCTCTTGCTCCACCCATGCTTTACAAACTAGCCCCTTCTTCTTTGTTCTTTCAAGAAATGAACTGCCAAGTAAATCTTGCAGATCTTCCCTCTCGTCTTTGTCAACTTTGGTAGTCTTTATTACCCAAAGAAATCTGCATCCACTTCTCTCCAGTCCATTTCCTAGTTCTCTTATTTGTTCCTTTGACAATGCTGTTCTGCTTCCAAAGCTAACATAGACTACAGACTCATTTGGTTGGCCATCTAGCCACTGCAGATAAGAGCCAGCTTTCACGACAGCCTTACAAGGCTCGTATGGTCCTATGGGGAGAAAAGGAGGTAAATGAGCCAGCACCTTGCCAGTATTTACTGCAGCAATTGTTTCAGACTCAAACCAATCAAAGCTATTAAGTAGAATACCCTTGGCTTTCGAGAGGAATTGAGCATTTAAACGGATGTGGGCTGTGAAAATATGATCTGGAGTAAAGAAGGGAGGAGGAAGGCTTGAAATTGGCACCGAAGCTAAACCCGGAAGCTGAATGCTAGAGTCTTCCGAACTTTTGCTTTCGAGTATCAAGTCAGGAAGACAAGCCATAAGTGAAAAAAATCTAGCTGAAGTGGTGGATACAATGTAAAGGGGCATAGATAATTCATCAGCTAGACGATTGATATCGGCTGCAACAGCAAAGTCAGCGAAGATGGCTGATAGAGGCGGAGTAGATAAGGAAGCCAGGAGAGGATGCAGGAGATGAACTGAGCTACTAATAGCTAGAAATCGAGCAAAGAAAGGATCAGGTTTATCAGCGTCTGCAAATTCGGATGGACTGCTGGGAATTGGGAGATGAAAATCAAGCTGATTGATTTGAGGGTGGGAAGCAAAGAAGGTAGACAATTCGTTGGACTCTGCAGCAGAAACTGGAGGCTGAACAGCAATCAACGTAACTCTGCATTGGCAATTAGGAGAAGCAAGCATGGCTGCCAATCTCAGAAATGGGACCAAATGGCCTATTCCTGCACTAGGAAACAGAGCTACATGTGCAACTGCTCTCTTCTGGGAATCACCAATTCTTGACATTGACATTGTTTGATGAACTGATGATGCTGTATCTAGTCTACTTTGTTTTGGTGTATAGGTCTTCTATCCTCTGCTACCATCTTTAAATAGAGTAATATAATATCTTTTCTTATGAAAATATTTTATAATTACTAGAAACAAAAGAATCTCATATGGATTAACAATCTAATATGAACGTCAATACTCTGTTGTCTCATTGTTGTTTTTTTTTCAAGAATAAATCATCCATTTTGACAAAAACAATTTTCTTGTGAGTAATATTAAATTCATTGGATGAGAAGCCTAACTCTTCATTTATTTATGATTAGGTAGGTTGCTTCTACAGTGGAAAGTTGGTTGGTTGCTTCTACGGTGGAAAGTTGGTTGGTTGTCTCTAGTCCACTTTGTTTTGGTGTACAATTCTTCCATCTTCTGCTACCATCTTTAAATAGAGTAATATATTTTCTTATGAAAATATTTTGTAATTACTAGAAACAAAAGAATCTCATATGGATTAAAAATCTAATATGAACGTCAATATACTCGATTGCCTCATTGTTGTTTTTATTTCAAGAATAAACCATTCATTTTGACAAAAACAATTTTCCTGTGAGTAATATTACATTCATTGGATGAGGAGCCTAACTCTCATTGTTAAGATGATTAGGTACATCTATTAGTTGAATTTGGACACATTCTTGTGTCATATAATGCATGTGTACAAGTTCCAACGTTGTCTTCCAAAGAGTAGACTGAAAAGAGTATAAGTTGATTGTTGAAGTACTTTTGAAATTTTTGGTTGCTTGTATGTTTTATCTGTATGTATTTTTCACTTTTTTTTTGGTTCAATTATTGGTGAGACGTGCTTTTCTCCTTGCTAAAATAGTATTTTTTTCAACAAAATAATTAAGAGAAAACAGAGAGTTTTATCTGTTGTTATTGACTTATGCCGGCAAGAGTCACGTGTGCCAAATTTTGTATAATTTTGAAGTGAATTTTGCGATTGTCCACATTTTTGGCAAATTGAATAATTCAACAACCAAATTACTTTTCACTAAAACTTTAGGATTAATAAATTGATTGGCAAAGCGAGATGAATCCTAAAGTTAATTCATACAAAGTTAGTTTATGATTGGCAAAGCTAATTCATACAAAGTTAGTTTTGATTCATCTCGCAATACATTTTTGGCAAAGCTAATTCAACTAAATTGATTGTATTGCGAGATGAATCAAACTAACTTCGTATGAATTAGCTTTGCATGATTGTACTGATCAGCTTTGCCTTTTACTATAGTGAACCTGCTAAATAAGAGCTCATTGAGCTTGGTGCAGTCAAACAATTTACAATATTCTTCGAAATTTCAAAATACTCTAGGTTGAATGTATGAATTAAAGTGAATGAATTTGTACATAATATATTGAATTTATTCATACAAGTATTTAATAAGTTCTTTTATTTCTTAAACAATCTCTCCTATATAAAGAGGCCAAGTAGAGAGTGATTTGCTACGAAAAATCACTTTCCTATTACTTTGAACTTTCTCAAAAAGCACTTCTAAGTTCAAAAGAATTTGTCTTACTTTATGCAAGAGTTTAAAACAAACAAACTTCATCTTATCCTAAAGGATATTTATCCCTTATTGGCAATCTTCTACTACAACTTTTCAGCTAGTTGAAGTACTTGAATTTGTCTTCTTCTTTGTCTTCTTCGTCTTCTTCTTCTTCTTCTTCTTTTCCTCGTTATTTCTCTTTTGCATTCGCTTTTCCATCATCCTATGGATCCTGCATAATTAAGGTTTGCAGTGGAATAAACAGAAAAGAAAAACAGTAAATATTATACTAGATTGGACTTGCAGTAAGTAAAGATTTTTTTTTTTTTTTTTGCAAGTAAAGAATGTAAAACTTCCTAAGAGTAAAATGTAAAATGGATAGTTTTGGAAGCACTTACATATTCCAGATGATTGGATCTGAAACTTCTTCATAATCTAGAATGACGAGCTTAATATGGGAAACTTTAAACCATTCAGAATCTGGTTCATTTTGCAGCATCCATTTCCTTGCTAGCAGATTACAGTCCTCGATATCCAGGTACTCCATATTCTTGAGGCCTTCCATTATTTCTTTGGAGGGAAAGGACTCAAGTTTTCGGCAATTGGAGAGGGCTAAACTTTGAATGGAGGAAAGATTCCCTATCCAATCTGGCAAAACTTCTATTCCAAAGTCATATAAAGTCATTTCTTTCAGAGCAGTCAGGTGTTGAAGCTCTTCAGGCAAAGAATTCCAGTGATGCTGCCCGACTAAGAATAGAGAAACAAGTGAAGAAAGCTGTTGAAGCCCTGTAAAACATGTTTGGAATGTTTCAAACTCCATTGAATTTGAAAGAGGACCCATCCTGAGGTCAGCCAAGTTGCTAAGTGCACCAAGCCCCTTGGGCATGGTATTCAACTTAGGGCAGGAAGTAATTCTCATGAATGAAATGTTAGGCATTTGTTGAAAATTTGGAGAAAACTCGATGAGATTTTCACACTCTGTCACCCATAGGTATTGGAGAGACTTGCAAGACTCCAATACCTCACTTGGTATACTGATCAAACCTTGGCACTCAGAAACTGTCAAGCTCTGAAGGGATGGAAGGCCTCCCTGTCCATTCAAATTTGGAAATAATTTGATACTAGGGCAGTATGATAGCTCGAACCTTTTGAGAGATCTGAGTGAACAAATTTCTGGTGGAAATTCTTGTAATGCCCCGCATTCCTTGATCTCCAACTCTTGGAGCACTGCACTGCAACCGGACATATGAGGAACAATGTGTGTCAAAGAGTGGCACTTTATAATACATAGATAAGAAAGATTGGTGTTGTTTTCCAGCAACTCATCTGGAAGAGAAGTTAGCTCCTGTACATCCTCAACATGGAGACTGGTGAGGGTGGTCAGCTTGGAATTGCATATACTCTCCAGTGGCGAGCTGCTCTTGATGGATTCAACCCTCAGTACCTTGAGTGCAGGGAAATGACTTGGAGCAGTCATCAACTTTGGATCCCTTCTAAGAAATAATCTCTCAAGGCTATTAAACGTCTTAGCTTCATAAGATGCAGAGATTTCTTCTGGTCCCTTCCAGTCTAGTAGGCTTCGCATGTTGTTTATTATGAGGCTTTTGAGTGCTGGAAAGAATGATTTTGTAGCTTGAGTTTCACTGGTGTTGGTATTTGATCCATTGCCACCGTAAAATGATGATCCAAAGCAGCTAACTTCTGAGAGTTTAACTATCTCAAGATTTTGGAGAAGCGGTAGGGTCCCTAGTGTTGGGATTTCCTTGCATCTTGTGCAGCTTTCCAGTTTTACCTCCACCAAATTGTTAAGTTGCAAAGAGCCTCTTTTAACAGACATCTTCATTACCCATGATGGGAATCTGTCACCTTTGAAGTGTTCGATCCTTAAGCTTTTCAGATTGTGGTAAGGCTCAAGGCCTTCCAGCACATTCTCATCGTTGTTTGGATCTTCTCTTTCTTCTTTTTCAGGATCAATCCAACGAAGCTCCAGCTCCTGCAAATTCGGTTTCTCAAATAGATTTGCTAGCTGAGCTTCCTTTTTGTCTTTCACAAGATCAAGATTTCGTATCTCCAGCTTGCCTTTGAGATCTTTCAAGTGCTTCAGCTCCCCAATTGGAGGACCACACTTCTTTCCCACGTTATAGATTGGCAGTGTTTGAAGGTGACTTAATCGCCCAAACTCATATGGCATAGAGAAGTACTCATTATAATAGAAGTGAAGATGTCTCAGGCATAGCAAATTCTTGAAATCTTTTGGGAGTTCTTCAAGAGAATTACATCCAATGATCCTCAATGTCTTCAACTTGTAAAGGTTGCAGGCAGAGTCGGGTATAGACTTTATCTCTGTCCTCGAGAGATCAAGGTATTCTAAATGCCTTAGATTTCCAACATATACTGGCAATTCTGCTATATCTGCATCACAGAGGTTTAAAACATACAAGAAGTTTAGATTTAGCAAGTTATTGTCAGGTAAATTTTTCTTTAGGAATAATGTCCTCAAATATCTTGCTTTCTCCTTGGCAATCTTCATGGTTTCCTCTGTAAACGACTCCAATGCAAGGTGTTGAATCTGACGAATGTCATCTTGATCTCTTTCGCCGATGGTGATGCTCTCGAAGCTTGATAGAGAATATGCAAAATCATAGACAAGATTATGCAGTTTACAATGTGTTACTTTGTTGAAGTTATCCTTGCTTACAATTTCAAGTAAAGAATTCTGCAACAAAGTGTCAAAGTATTGATTTCCTATTTCTTCCATCACAGAAATCCCCAACCCTGGGTCAATAAATCCTTCAGCCATCCAAAGCTGGACTAGCTGGTCCCTTTCTATAACAGAGTTCCTTGGAAACATCGAACAAAATGCAAAACATCTTTTGAGGAATGGAGATGGCAGATTTTCAAAGCACAATTTGAGTATCGCAGAGATTACATCTTCTTTATCTAATACCCCGCTTTCTAAAATTGACAACCAGAAATCCCTTCTTTTGTTTTGTAACAAACCTCCAAGTAAATTTGCTGCTAAAGACAGACCTTGACACTTTTCTGCAATGTGCCTTCCTATGTCCTTCAGGCCTATTGGTATTTCATCACTTACACCTGCCTTTTCTTTTATTATGGACCAGAAATTTTCTATAGATGTCTTTTCCTCATTTTCTGTGATTTTCAGGTCAGCAATCAAGAAGCCAACCTCCTGAACTACATCTACCTGAGGGGAAGAAGCAGTTGTGACACCATATTTCTCAGAAGCTAAAAAGTCTTTCACTTCTTTATTGATCATCTCCAGCTTATTACTGATGCCTCTTGCTTTAGGCATCATTTCTTGGCGAAAGGCCTTCTTATCAGAGTGACAGGAGAAGAGACTTACCTTTGGTTTTTCTTGGTTCAGCATCTCCACCTCATGCTGGAGAATTTGATAGCCGAACTCTGCCAAAGCATTATCAGCATCATCGGCTAAATCAGAAAGTTTCTGCAGCCAAAGGGTAACGATCACAGCCTTGTCCTGCAGCCTCAGATTATCCTGTGAGACAGCTTGGATGTTGGATAAAGATCCTTTCAATTCCTCCAACTCTTGTCTGATGGCCTGCACAACATTAGTCTCTTCACTGGAGTGGGAAAACCAGTTCTCCATTAGGCATGAGATTTCTTGAGGACCACCAAAAACAAGGT